AACCACAACAAAAATGTTCAACAACAGCAACCATCACCAACTACATTCAACAACAACAACAACAAACCCACAACAACCACAACAACAACAACAACACTTTATGACGTTCAGTCTGTACCACCACCTTCTACCAACCCTTCATCCACCACCACCACCACCACCACCACCAGCGTCATCACTACCAGCCCCACCATTCCTACAGCCCCTTCCAACTCATCATCACCCATTTTTTCACCCATTCTCAACCAGCAAATTACTCAACATTCACCACCATCATCATCATCAACAGCAGCAACAACAACAACAACATCAACAAATGTTATCAGCATCTTCTTCAACGTTATCGTCATCTTTAGGGCCACATTTTTTGAGGCTATCGCCACAATCGTCGTCGTCGTCATCGTCCCCGCCACAGATGACGAATCATAATTTTTTGAAATTCAACAACAACAACAGTCTCAGCAACAAAAGGTTCAGCGACGAATCGATAGACCACCTCATCTCAACAACAACAACAACATCAAACAACAACATTAGAAAAAAACACCAACAATCATCATCAGCATCGTCAACACTGCTACCATCATCATCGTCGTCGTCGTCAGCTGCTGCAACAACAACAAACAACAACAACAGCGAATTCGACAACAACAGCAACAGCTTGGACAGATTTCCGAGAACTCCAAAATGCGCTCGTTGTAGAAACCACGGGGTTGTTTCAGCCCTGAAGGGGCATAAAAGATATTGTAGGTGGGTAGAAAAAAAAACTTGATTCCTTTTTTAAAATTACAACATGATACGATACGATACGATACAATACCATCTCAAACGATACGGATACGATACGATACGATATCAAACAATACGATATATATATATATATATTTTTAGACCAAATTATTTATAATGATTATTTCTTCTTAGTTTTGTAACTTTTTTAAAATTTTATCTAAAATTAAATTTCATTTAATTTTTAATTTATATCCTGAAATTAATTGCTAACACACACACACACACACACACACACACACACACACACACACACACACACACACACAAACACACACACACACACACACACAAACACACAGATGGCGTGACTGTGCATGCGCCAAGTGTACCCTGATAGCCGAAAGACAGAGGGTAATGGCCGCCCAAGTGGCTCTGAGACGCCAGCAGGCGCAAGAAGAAGCTGAAGCATCGTCAGATGGACGACTTTTTGGCGAAAAGGGTCTGCTAAAATTGAATGTAGAAAGCTTGCCCTTACTGCCAGGTAAAAGGGGAGTAGGTAGTTTAAGAGGGGGTAGTTTAGGGTTGTAGTTTTAAAGGGTAGTTTAGGGATTGTTTTTATTGGGGGGCCCAATGTGTTAGTACATTCAGACTG